AGTGAAGTCATGGATCTTGGAGGAGAACCTACAACTGCCACATTGCTACACAAGCCTAATTCCTAACTGCATTCTTAAATATATGTCCTTATATCCATAGGTGAGTGTAGCTCTCAACCCTCATTAAGGAAGCATCTCTTTCAAGAGAGACTAATAGAGACTAAACTAGAAAACTGATCAAAATGTAGAGTACAAGTGCCCATACGGAGTCCAGCCCCATGTGGAGCCCAGCTCCAGCTGATACATCTGTAGTTTCCAAGGCTCAGGGCTCATTGAGGAAAGGGAGGTAGAAAGATTGCAGGAGCCAGCAAACAGGAAGTTTGCCATGAGATTTTTGTCTCCTGGAAACACCAGAGAGGCTAAACCTATGAAGTCTCATCACCATGGCTTCCTAAGCAAGACCTGAACAAGGACAGCTCCATTAAACACGCTACCATGGACGGGGGCTGATCGGGGGTCAATATGGACAACCAAGGAATCCCCAGAGTGGGAGAAATAGTCTTCTCCAGGGGACAAATTCCCAAACTGGTTCTCATACATACTATTAACATTATACGGGCTAAACAGGCTGTAGTTAAATATGTAGGAACACACACACATACACAGACACACACACACACACACACACACACACACACAGACACACACGCACGCACATATTAAAGAAGAAATTTAGGCCATGATTTTGAGAGAGCACAAAAGTGAGTGTACACAGGAAGGGTTTAAGGGAGAAAAGAAAAATGATGTAACTATATTTTAACCTCAAAAAAATTAAAAATACTTGTTTTCTGAGTAAAGAAAAGCTCATTAATGTAGTCAATACAGATTTTTTTTCATTTATTGACATTTCTACCAGAAGTGAAAAGCATGAAGGGAAGGACAGAGCTCAAATATCCAGGTTTCCATAAAAATATCCAGGTTTCCTTAAAAAAAATATTATTTACCAGCTTAGAGAAGAAGGCAGAAACAACACTAATTCATAATGGTTATTTCTAAACCTTTACAACTGGCATTGCCTTCTTCTTCATTTTTTTTTTTAAATGGGGTTGAAATCTCCACTGCTGAAAAGGTTTTGATATGACTCAAATTCCCTAGGACCTTATTTGGGTCCCCGGGGCATACGAGTTCTTAATGTACCTTTGAACCTGAACACCCCGCTTATTGTTTCCAGACCCTGAGCTATCCCTGAGAGGGCTGCACGACCCCACTCAACTGCCAACAGTGGCGAAGGGATGCTGTATTGGTGGCCTATTGTTCTAGCCTGGCAGACCCTGGAAGACATTTGGAACATGTTTTTTAAGTTTGAGGTTTTAAAGGGAGTATTTACAAGGTCAGCTGTTTAATGTTTTTTTCACTAATTAAGCTAATCCCTTGCAGTCTGCCTCTCCTTTGTGTTTTATATTTATTGTGATCTATACAATGTAGCGAAAATATATAAAGCCTTTACCATGGTAAGAAAAACATAATAACTAATTAAATAACGGCATTATTACATACATTTTTGCCAGGCTCGGTTTTGCCAGATGGTCCTCCTTGGTCTTCTTCATTTTGATTTGAAGGCTCCCCAGGCTTGTGCCTTTGGGGCACTGGCAATTAATAGGTCTTTGTTCCCAGTGGGCCTTCCATACCCCAGGACCACCCCCCTGAGTGATGTACTGGTCTAGGGGTTTTATTTTCCTATCCCCTTTGGGGCCTTGTGGTCTCTGTTGAATTTCTGGCCTTGGATTACTGGCTGCAGTGGGTGGCCCAGCCTGCCTTCCTTTCCCTAAGCGCTATAGAGCCATGAGCAAAGAGCATGTCTGGGGGCGGCATAGAGTGCCCACCAGCTGGGCTCTGGAGTGAAGTTCCCTAGGTTAGACATTCCTGGAAAGATGATATCCAGAACCAGCATGCTTTGTGGGACTAATAAGGCACTCATGTGTCAGTGCCCTCTGGTTTTCCCTGGAGATGTTTACATGCAACTGTTCTATGGAATCCGTCTACCATTCGGACTCCTCGTATGGAGAAGATGTGTGCAGATGATTTAACTTAATGACTCTGTCCAGTTGAACGGAAATGTGCTTTGAGAAGTTTTGAAAGAGGGGAAGAGAGGAGAGAGGAAAGCCTGGTTTCCCATCTCACTCAAACCATTTTCCATTCCTGGGGGGAGAAAGGCAGGTCTGAGACCCCGGCAGAATTAGTGCAGGATGCACACTACTCCACTTTATGATGTTTGGCAAGGGAAGCATGTTGAGTCAGTTAAATCTGTGTACTTGGTTCTTCCAGGAATGCTGTATAGATGGGGCCTGAGCTGGGGGATGATGGGAATGAAATATATTTGTGCTAAGGTGGTTTACTTTATAAGCAGGACCAGGAACACTTGGAGTTTAAGTTTCTCATTAGTGATATGTGTGTTATCTGCAGGTGAAGACTCAAAGAAGCCTCTACCCCACGGGCTGTTATGGAGTGGCTCTGCCTGGCATCATCTTGGCTTAGTCCCCATTTGTTATCTACCAGCAATAAGACTTGGGCAAGTCATGAGCTCTTATCTCTCTCTCTCTCTCTCTCTCTCTCTCTCTCTCTCTCTCTCTCTCTCTCTGAATTCCCTACCTCAGAAGACCTTTGCAAGAACTGCATGGGAAAGCAGATGTGGCCACTTTTTACAGTCCCTAAGACAGCACAGAAATGCCTTGCCCTTCTCAGACCTATTCCAAGAGGGCAAGATTAGGGCTTCATTGGCAAAGATGACCTAGGAGTCATGTGCATTAGAGTTGTAGGCACCTCATGTGATGCTTGTATCACAGTAGGACCAATCCCATGGTGTCTTAGCAACGGAAACAAGCACAGGGAACTGCAGAGAGAAGATGAAGAGGGGACAATAGCATTCTTGATACCGACTGATCATGCTCTGGCCACACTGAGCTAGGTCCTTATCTCCCTCCACTGTTAGTTCTCAACTTCTCTCCAGGAAGGCATCTCAGCACAACTGTATCTCAGTGCTCCACCCCCAACACAGGCCCCATCTACACAGCATGCATGGAAGAGTCAAGTGTAGACTCCACTCTGATTCTTACCTGCATTTTATAGAGGCAAAGTGCTGCAGGAGGGAATAAAGGCTCTGTCCATTTATAAACTGTTCCACGTAACCACCAGCATTCCTTAGGATCATCCAGGGAAAGAAAACATGGAGGAGCGAACCATGCTTATTGTAGCTGACTGAGCCAGATGAAAGACTGCCATTTAGAACACAGAGTTCTCAAGAGGTCTTTGAACTTTTTTTTTGATATTCCAGGGGCACATGTTGAAATTCAACCCAAGTTAGCATTTCATTGCTGAGAAGAGACACCATGACCATGGCAACTCTTATAAAGGAAAACATATAATTGGGGCTGGCTTACAGTTTCAGAGGTTTAGTCCATTATTGTCATGGCAAGGAGCATGGCAACATGCAGGCAGACATGGTGCTGGAGAAAGAGCTGAAAGTTCTACATATGAAGAAGGAGACTATGTCTCACACTGGGTGTAGCTTGAGCATGTATGATCTCAAAGTCCGCCTCCACAATGACACACTTCCTCCAACAAGGGCACACCTCCTAATAGTGCCACTCCCTACGTAAAAACATCCAAACACATGAATCTATGGAGCCATTCCTATTCAAACTACCACACAACCCTTGTAGCTTCTTTGAGGACAGAAGCCCCAGTTTTGATTTCCAAGAATCCCGTACATCATGCTATTCAGAATTATGTTTGATGTATTCTCCTTATTCAGAATACTTCATTAGAAAGAGAGAGGAGGAGTTATTTTTCGAGGCAGTGATCAGTAAGGTCAATGACAGTAAAAGCGTGGTTCCAAATCTTCCCACAGATCTGCCTATTTGTAAAAGTGTTAGCTCTGATTTTACTGAGAATTGCTATGGATGAGTCCCCAAAACAATGGCCCATATTGTTCCTGCTGTGCAGGTGGCCTCTCTGCTGCTCAGCTATTGGTCTGGAGCTCCCACACTCACTCTCCTGTTTCTGGTGCTACTCACTGCTATACTGTACATTTTGATGAAGGAAAAGATGTAAACAGAATGAAATTAGAGCTATCCAGCTTTTCATGGAAGACTTTTTATTCTTGGTGATTTTGTTCTTTTTTCTCCCTTATTTGTGATTACAACCAAATAACAAACATTAGGGATTCCATGATACTGATGAAGGATACCTGCTTAACAAGATAATCCTGTTTTATACATTTCCAATAGTTTCTTGTGCTTAAGTTGCTTTTTCCTTTTGATTTCATTCCCCAACTACTAGTAGCATAGAAATGAGGAAGCCCATTATATGGGCTTTGGTAGCTAACAGTTACCTTTGGCACACATATCTGGATCAGTATGAGGGAGTTTATTGGGAAAGACATATGTCAGGAAGCATAGGACTATTCTATTTTTGTGGGTGAAATGGATATCTCTGAAACTGGTGCTTGATCATCAGTGTGTGAGAAAGATCTGGAAGGAGATGTTGGTCAAGTCACCAGGACCGAACATTGGTGCACAAAGCATTTCAGAAAGTGCATGATACAGAAAAACTGAAACAACTAATTCCATTAGGTGATCAAAGGACTTTTTGCCAATGCTCTGCTTTCCTTTCTGTTGCTGTAATAGTGCACTCTGACCATAAGCAATTTAGAGGAGGGAAGGGTTTATTTGGCTTACATTTCCAGGTCATAGTCTGCTGTTGAGAGGAGTTAGCAAGAGCTTCAAGCAGAAACCAGGCTTGCTATTTCACTCACTAGCACATGCTCTAGTAGCTTCCTCAAACAGCCCTGGACCACCCACTCATAGAATGACTCAGCCTACAGAGGACCAGGCTCTCCTGTATCCATTAGGAATCCAGAGAATCCCCTGCAGATATGCACTTGGGCCAATCCAGTCTAGGAAATTCCTCAATTGAGGTTGTGCATCAGGTGACTTCATGCTGTGTCAATTAACAGTTAAAAGTTAACTAAGATAACCAAGTGCTTTGTACTCATTCTTGATGAAGTACCTAAGGGGACAGTTCAACTTCCAGCTTTTCTGTTGTGGATGATATCTGTGATAGTTAGTTCATTAACTTGAATTGTGAACTTGACACAACTTAGAATCACCTGGGAAGTGAGTATACATGAAAGAATGTCTTCATTGGGCTGGCCTGTGGGCATTGTGTATGTGTTTGTCTTAATTAGGATAATTGATCTTAGAAGATCCAGCCTAGTGTAGGTGGTACCAATTCTTGGGCAGGGGTCCTGATTGTATAAGGGTGAAGAAATTGAGCTGAGTAGAAGCAAGCAAGCAAGGATGTATGCATTCATTCCTCTCTGCCCTGTAGATGTGGTATGACTAGCTGTTAGAAGTTCCTGGCTTGACTTTCTCACAATAATGGGCTATAACCTGGAGGTGTTAGCCGAAATGAACATCTTTCTTCTCCAAGGTGCTTTGGTCAGGATATCCGAAATTAAATGAGAACACACTCCTTGTCTTGAGGGTAATACGTGACAAGATTCAGATTTAGAATCACCTAGGAGATAAACATGTGGGTATGTCTATAGGGGTATGTCTAGAGAGTCTTAACTGAGGCAGGAAGTCCTACTCTAAATGTGGATAGGACTAGTCCATGGGCTGGAATCCTAGGCTGAATAACGAGGAGAAAGCAAGCTGAGCACCAGCCCTCATCCTTCTGTCTCCAGACTGTATATGCAGTGTGATGAGCTGCCTAGGGATTGGTACCACCCACACTGGGCTGGGTCTTTTAAGATCAATCCAGCTGCCATAACTTCCCTAACATGGTGAACTGTGCCCTGAAACTGTGAGTCCAAATAACTCTCTTTCCTTAATTTGCTTATGCCAGGTATCTCATCCCAACAGTAAAAAAGCAATTAATATATCATCCTTCCTAGGTGATTTAGAATGGGACATGGGGAGTCCCTCCTAAGGAGCGAGGGACTAGTCCTCACAACTCAGTTATTTTCCAGTCATCTGATCTTGTCATTTAACCTTTGAAAGCCTTATTATTATTATTATTATTATTATTATTTTGCTTTGATCACTTCACAGAGTGGCTGTGACCATAAACTAAGCAAAGCAACTTGAAAAGTTAGTTAAACGTTATGTGACTTGAGGGTCTGCTTAGGCTTTTAAATTTTTTTTATACTTTTAGAAGAGGCAAATTATTGTTGGTGTGAAAATGGAATCTATAAAATATGTTTTTTATATTGTTCAAATAGTGTTTATAGTAAAGCCATATATATTAGGGTGCTTTCATATTGTATGAACCATTTGTGATTATGTTAAGGTTCATCAATATGGCAAAGAAATCTCATATTGGTTTGACTTATCTCTTTATAATTAATCAAATAGGTGGACATATCCTACAACCACACTGTACTGAACATTAATGGCATGCTTTTAAAATGGGTGGCAAAAGTGAATGAAAACTCAAATCATGGCTGCTTTACACTATTTAACATTTATATCATTGTTTCACTTACAGAGAATTACAAAATTATGATTAGATTGCTAGGAGTGAGTTCTATTACTCAGAATTATATAACAACATCTACTCATTCAGATCGCTTCCTTAGGAATGCAGAACAGTTGTATTTGTTTTAGTTGATGACATTAAAAACTTCTTTGTTCAAGTGCCTTGTGGCTCATAAGACTTTGTAATTTTCAAAGCCGTTTACAGACGTTGCTTCACTCAGTGTTTGCATGGCAGAAGGCCCCTGTATTTTTTCTTCCCTCGTAGCATACTGATGATTCAAAAAGCCCCAATAGAAGCAAAAGCTAAAGTTACCTGAGACTACACTGTCTCATCAGCTTCCCATGCAGCCCACACGAGATCTTCTGTGGCTTTTCTACTGTTGTGCTTGAATCTTTATTTCTGTATTTATCTGATAGGGAACTTTTTATCTCCCGTTGATGCTTCGTGAGAGGGGAGATCAGTCAATGTTTGGTTACCTTTTGTGTGTATGCCTGTGTACATACTCCTGTGTGTATGTGAACGTGTGTTTGGGGACAGTGGGCTATGGTGAATGTCTTGTTTTTGTTTTTTGGGTGTTTTGTTTTGTTTTGTCTTGCCTTGTCTTTGTACTTTGGTTTTGTTTTCAAGATGGGGTTTCTCTTTGTAGGCCTGGCTATCCTGAAGCTCACTCTGTAGACTAGGCTAGACTCAAAACTCACAGAGATTCACCTGCCTCTGCTTCCTGAATGCTGGGATTTAAGGTGTTGTGTATCTTCCTCAGTTGCTCACCACCTTACATTTTTGGGACAGAGTCTTTCACTGAACCTGAAGCTCACTGATTCAGCTAGACTAGTTGGCATGTCCTTTGTTCACATGTCCCTGGTTTTGGGGTTATAGGTGCACACTGTAGCACCTGGCTTTTTTTCCGTGAGTATGAGGACTCAAACTCAGGTCCTCGTGTTTATATGACAAGCACACTACCCACGGAGTCACCTCTCAAGCCCTGATGTCCACTGGCTTTTATACCCCTACCTGTTCACAGCATGATCAACACTAGTGGCCTTAGTAAAGGTTTGCTAAATGAACAAGTCCAGTGCTTGTTGCACTACAGAGTCCACTGTTTTGAGGTGTTTGGTTCTTTGTGGCCTTAGCATTACCAATAACAGTATTCCCCCTAAGTAGCTGTTTTTTGTTTTACCTTGTAGATACTGCCATGCATCTGATTATTATTTTCTTGAGCTGCTTGGCTGCTAGGAAGCCTTAGACCGTAGTTTAACAGATGCGGAGGGTTTCCTGGTATGCACTTTGTACATAGGCTACTTTGCTGCTTGTGGTTTCTGCCCTTTTCTTATTCTTCTTTACCATCCTTGTAAACATATATGATTCAAGATGTATGCAGGCTTTGCTACTGCCTTAGTACCTCTGGCAGCAGGGCAGGTTAAGAAAAGTAGCTCTCAAAGTAACTGCCCTCAATGTAGATCTTACTTTTCTATTGCTCTGAAGAGACTCCATGATCCAGACAACTTGTAAATGAAAGCATTTAACTGGGCCATGCTTACAGTTTCAGAAGGTGAGTCTATGACTGTCAAGGGGGGAACATGGCAGCAAGCTGGAAGCTATGACACTGGATCAGTAGCTAAGAACTTATATCTTATCCAAAAGTTGGAGGCAGGGGTTAGGGTCAGGGCTGGAGCTGACATGGGCTTTTGAAATCTGAAAGCCTACTGCCAGAGACACACCTCCTCAGACAAGGCTACACAACCACAGCCTTCCAAAAGCAAGCCCATCAACTAAGGATCAAGCATTCAAATGTGAGTATATGAGGCCATTCTCATTCAAACAACCACAGTATTTCTGGTTTGTGTGTGTTGTTGTTGTTTTTGTTTGTTTTTTAATTTTAGGAGGAAGCTGTGATAAGAACTGCTATCTGATGGTTAAGACGGGCTTATGCATAAGAACTGATGGGGTCTTTATGATTCTGAAGACTGTAAAGTCCTATGATGACATGAAGTCTGGATCTACATTCACATCCTGTTGAGACCATGAGAAGAGAAAGAGAGTAATCCAGTAGAACCTTCTAGAAAGGTAGCCTCACTTCTCTTAAGAGTCTGCTTGGTCAGGCCTTTTCTCCTGGGAGACTTGGCTAAAGTCAGGGCTACCACTGACCACATGCAGTGTGGCTTTCCTTCCCTTACTTAGAGTTGCCAAGGTAGGGAGAACTCATTTCCTATGCTGACATCTTGAGCCACGCTAGGCCTCATCAGATATTATTTTGGCTTGCCTGACTAACGCACACAGCCCCTGAATTAAAGCTTAGAAATTAGTCCCAGCCACAGCTTTCTCTGAGCTGAAGTGACTGGATTTGTTGCACCAGCAGCTGCAGTGGCCTTGTGCCTTCTCTCTGTGTGTGTCTGCGACTTTTGTGACCCCTCCTCTGTTGGGGGAGGGGACTTTTGTTTATGCATGAAGCACCACTTTCAGTTAGAGTCACGATTATGTGACTTTTGGTATTTGTCCTGTCCTCACTCCGGGCCAACACAAATATGTTATCACACTGGACCTTCCTTAGCATAAGAATGACTTTGGAAGGCCACAAGATTTCTAATAAACAAAAATGAGGGAAATGGGAGCACCTGCAAAAGGAAGGAAACCCTCCAACTGCAGATTAGGAGATACGACTTAACAAAGCCATCCGCGGTCTTGTGAAGCGCTGGCCTCGTCCAAGAATGTGGAATGCTAGGAGCACTTGAGTGGAATTCCCTGTAGCCAGCTTGTTCCAACACAAGCAATAGGAGCCAGCCAACCCAGGAGCGTTGTCAGCCTCACTGTCACTGACTGAACCCTCAGACATCCAGTAAGGAAGCCTCTGCCAGACACCCCACCCAGGAAGGAGAGAAGGGGCAAGTTCCTGGCACCTTAAACTTGGTATTAAACTCTAGTAGGCAACAGTGGGAAGAGCCACTCCCAACCACTCTCCCTTACTGCTCCCCCCCAACCCAAAGCCATCCATGTGATTCTTACAGCCTCAGGCTGACTACTAGAGGCCTGTTTCTGAAGCTTGTCACTGGGTTTGGGGAAACAGAGGGTCCCTCTTTTTCCAAGGGTACAGACTTTACTTGCACTTTAGTATCCTCATTTTTATTTTCTGAAAATAATACAGACTAGGGGATCTCCAAGTTAGTTTTATTGCCCAAATTTTATTTTTCTACTCCTAAGGAAATTTAAGCTTTTCCTAAAAGTCTAGTCTGACACTGTCTAGATTTTGTTCTCTTCTTTCACTCTTTCAGCAGCTTGGATGTGGCTTAAGGTAGAATACTTGCCTGAGTGTGTAAGGTGGGGACTTGACTCTACTCTGAGGCATGAGGTGGGCTGGGAGCATGCTCCAGGCTCAGATCCAGCTGGATTCAGATGGACATGTATCTTCAGACATCTTAAGCAAGTTTCTTAAACTTTCTAAGTCTTGCTTTCCTCATCTGAGGGAGAAGAGACAATTGCTCTGCTTTTCCCACTTCTTCCTATTCAGCTTTCATTGTCTTCTTCCACTGTCTCCCTTTGGCTCTGCAATGGCCTCTGATCAACCCTCTCCTGTTCCTCAGTATGTGGGTAACGTTCAGTTCACAGGGATCAAGGGTCTGACTACCTGAGTTGCTGTTTCCCCTGCCTTCTGCTTCTGTCTCCTTTTTTGACCCTGGAGGCAAGGTTGGAGGACCTGTGTCACTTGACTTGAAGACATTCTGCTCTTTTTTTTTTTTTTTTTTTTTTTTTTTTTTTACAGGTTACATTAGAAGACTCCAGCTGCACAGGACTGCTCAGAGTGAGAAACACTGGGACTTCATTCTCCAAAATGATTGTAACAATATTCAGTCTTTTTAAAAGTCATCCTGGGCTTAAGCAGTAGTGGTCTTAGATTCATTAGCATCTTAGAATGGTGTCCCTTCAGGGACTCTCCTCTCCACTATTATTGAGGAAAGACTGAGGAATTGGAAAGGGGGAAGTGAAGAGACAAAGGGGAAACAAAGGGTGTGTGTGTGTATAAACAGGTGGTTGGCATCATTTGGAGATGGCTGATAAGTTAACATTTTAGGAGAGGGTTTTATCAGGTTTTTGAAAGTCATCACGAAGAAGCCATGAGGGTAGGAGTGTCATCCACAGGCATGGCTGTTGAATACAACAGTCTCACACAGCTGCAGCAATTGAGATGCACCGTAAGTGACTGCTCCTGCCAGCTGCTGTCTCAGCCGAGCACACTCCACTGAGAAACAGGAGGAAAGAAGGCTGCAGTTTCTTATCAATGGCATGACAGAGGGGTCTGCATGGATCATGCAGTTGCCAATTTTCTGGGGTGTGGGGGAAGCAAAATTACTCAGGTGGAGTGTGGCATTCTGAAAAGGGAGGGGATAAGTGTGGCACTCTGTTTGGGGGAGAAATTAGGGACTAGGATGAGGGACATGGAGTGGAGAAGACAAGACCACTGCAATGAGCAGAAAAGGTAAAATTGATGCATTGTAGGGGAACAGATCTGACACGAACATTAAGTCACGTGGTGATGTCATTCTTAACAAAAGTCTCCTTGCACCTGTTAATGCTTAACCTCTGCAGAGGTGGACTGGAGTAATTCAGCTGGACATAGCCGCTGAGTGCAATTGGCTTTCTAGATTTCCCCAAACGCCTTTCCTGTCTTAAACTATTGATAGTCGCAAAGAAAAGGGGTGGAGGAGCCCTTTTACTCAAGTGTGTAGAAGGCACTTTGCTCGTCTTTAAGCCCTTTGACGAAAAGTTCTTTCAGAAAAAACTTAACCTTACAAGGATTCTAAAAAGCCTGTCTTGCTTTTAAAACTTGCTGCTCAGAGAGATGACAGTGTGAGTTTAATGTGTAAAGCAGACCTGGCTGTGGCTACGCAGCATAAGTTCAAACCTGATTGGCCCCTGTCTTCCCAGGGCGTTGACTTCTCGGCATAAAACAGAGCGTGTGTTCAAATGATTTTTTAAAAAAGATTTATTTGTTTCTACTTTATGTGTGTGCTTGCCTGTATGTATGTCTGTGCACCACATCCATGCTTGCTGCCCATGGAAGTCAGCAGAGGGCATCGGAACTCCTGGGATTGGAATTATAGGTGGATGTGAGCCACCATGTGAGTGATGGGAATTGAACTCAGGTCCTTCACAACAGCAGCAGATGCTCTTAACCATAAAGCCGTCTCTCCATCCCTTGTTTGTGTGCTTATAATCTTCTGAAAACACGTTTCTTAATGACAGTAAATATTTATTCATCTTAAACTGTTAAGAAGAACCAAAGATCATTTAGTATAGGTAGATTTTTTTTTGGTTTGCTTTTGTTTTATTTTGCATTGCTGCAATTTAAAAGTCATAGATGCAGCTTTCTGGGTCACATCAATGAGAACATGTGTAAGGGATTATGTACTAAGAGGGTTTGTATGGAAAAGGGGGAAGAGGAAATACAAGAGCCAGAGAATAGGTGGACATGGGTAAAATTCTGTCTTCTGACCGTGACATGGTTGTTACAGTCATACCCACACAGTCACTGTGGCTGCCTGTGAAAGATCAAGACAGTCAATGATCAACCATGGCTATAGGGAGGGCTCACTGGGCTCCATCCCTATCTGAGAGGCTACTGGCAGTTGATGGCTGCTTGGGGAGGAAGGGCCATTTTTCTTTGATGGTGTGGCTGCTGACAGGTTGCTCTAGGAATGGTCTTGCATCCATGTGCATATAGGAAACACTAGTTAGACTCTATGAACTAGGGAGGAAGAGGAGGAAGAGGAGGGAGAAGAGCAGCAGGAGGAGGAGATTGAGGAAGAGGACCCAGAGGAGGAAGGACAAAGGAGGAAGGAGAATACATGAAGCTGGGTGGGGAGCACTCAGGGGGAGTACTGAGGGGCTTGGTGGGAGTTGGAGAGGATATGATCAAATTTTAGATTAATGGGTAAAAATTTAATAAATAAATAAAATGGAGAAAGAAAAGGAAAGTTTGTTCTCTTCTTTCATCATGACTTCCTGATCCTCTTCTCTTAAGAGGAACGGATGCCCTTTCTCTTGGGTTTCACTTTCTGCTCTTTTTGCTTAATGTAGTGCTTCAGCATGATCGCTGTTTACATTTGGTCCATTCTTGCTTTTAAAATCATCTGCTAAAATCTTGATTTCCCACTCCCATCTTTGATTTGTTTTTTCTCTTGAGACAAGGTCTATCTATATAGCCCAGGCTAGACTGGACCTCACTAAGGCCAAGCTGGTCTTAAACTTCTAAGTCTGTGGCTACTCACCACCGCACAGAACACTACAATTATAATTGTGTGCCCACAGATCCAGCTAGTTTGTTTCCCCTTGAGTTGAAATTGTTGGGCTCTTTCCCAATGACCTATTTGGATTTGAAGCTGTATAGTTCCAACCCCATTTATAGCATGACCTGTTTACATTTGTGCACACTTCTAGCTCCCCTCATAAGTTGTAGTTTCTCTTTGAGCAAGGATGTAGTCTTCCTTAGCTCAGAATCCTCAGTGTCTGGTCTAGAACTTCAAAAGTAACATTCAAAAGAACATTCCAAAGTAAATGCTTTACATGTGGGGAATGAGCCTGAGACAATGTCTGGAACCTGGCCAGGACATGGCCTCTGATGAGCTTTGACACACCAGTGACAGGGCATCTCAGCTGGATTGCCTATCCTTGTTCCCAGTTGAGGGGCACTTAGCAATGTCTGGACAGAGCTTTGCCACAGTGTGGGGTAGAGTCGGGATGCAAAGGATGTGGTGGTAAAGCTAATGGCATTTAATGGGTAGAGTCAGAAGCAGTGATGCTGAGGCTCAGGACAACCACACCCATGTGGAATTATCTTGTCCCCAGTTATTTATAACCTTGGCAAGATGTGCTTTCCTTGGTGCCTCTTGATGTTGGGGACCTACCCTCCAGCTGTCTTTTCCTCTACTCATTCCCTACTCAGAGGTTCTGGAGAGATTGAAGAGGAACAGAAAAGGGCAGTTTCCCTTTATTCTCCACACTGCTTGTCTAGAGCTGCATTAGGTTGTTCTCCACCTGGCCTTCCTAGGTGCAGGTACCTCTGTAGTTTATATATCTACAAGTGAAGGTTCACAGGTAGTGTGAAGACCCAATAGAACAATGGGACCTACAAGAGAGGACATGAGAGTCTCCACACTTGACTGTGTCCCAAAGATATCAAAATACCCTTAGGCTGGAACACAGAAGAAAGGGGCTGCCAGTCCGTTCTGTTTATGTGGAACAAGTCAATCGTTTCCCCTACATGTGTGGCTGATTTTGTTTTATCTTATGGAGCAATTATTCCTCTATTTTCCCCACAGACCAACTAAACTTACTCGTTTTTTTATTGTCTTTGTTTTGGCTTTTTTGCTGTTGTTGTTTCTTATGTTGCTGCATAATATCAAAATATTTTCTTCAAAGACAATTTCCTTTAAAAATAAAATGTTATCAGGAGAGAGACTATGTTCACAGCTGGTAAGGCATGATTATATAATCACTGTATGGGGAATTAAAAAGCAATTTCATAATGTAGCCCTAGCATCCAAAGAGAAAATCAAAGGAAACATTCCAGTTTAAAAAAAAAAAACTTTTAATCAAATGAAGTGTTTGAATTCTATTTGGGTTTTGTAAGTTTTCTTTTCTTTTTTTTTTTTTTTGGTTGGTTTTTGCCAACTTTCTGTATGTGCATGTTTTACTTGGTAAGGCTTTTAAAGAGATTATCTTAGCATGCCTAGGGGCTTCCTGAGAGTGTGGGTCACCTTCTAATTCCATATAAAATAGCCTTGCAAGGAGTCACACTAACCATTTAGGTATAAACTTAACATGCAACTATTTATTTTTATGACTGTCTCTACTGTCACTCTCTTTCTCATTTAAATATCATAAATCTAAATGGAAACAGCCCACATCCAATCCAGAGTGACATGGACTCAAAGCCTGCATGAGTACTGAAGTTTCGTCTACTTAACAAAAACCAAGCCAGGGTAACTTCCCTCTGCTCCTCCAAGCTCCTCCCAGCTCCCTCTAGTTGGGGAGGATCCCCAACTCCCAACCATCAAACTCCAGGCCTTCTTCTGCCATCTTTAGAAAACAAACAGAAAAAAAAAAAAAGGAAAAGGAAAAGAAAACAAACAGACAAATAATAATAAGAAAAAACCTCCAATCAAATCAGAATTAAACAAAACAAACAGGAAAAAAGTCCAAAGAAAAAGCATGAAACACACACACACACACACACACACACATACACACACACACACCATAAAAGACCCCACAAAACTGGGAACCATAGTATGTAATCAAGAGATCCATAAGGTTAAAAAAAATGCCCAAAGCATCCAAAGACAAAACATTTCCAAAATCCCACAGAGTTCATTTTGTGTTGGCTGTTTACTGCTGGACATAGGGCCTGCTCTTAAGTGTGGTTTGTGTACCTGTCAGTCTCCATTGGAGAAAACTATTTTTCCTTTGTGAGTGGCTGCCAATTGAAGATAGCCTGTAGGTTGGGAGTGCATTTCCATTTTCCCTCTCAGTGCTGAGACCTATCTGACTTGGACACTTGCAGGCTCTTATGGTCTACCACAGTCATTGTGGGTTCAGTCCTGTTGTGTCTGGAAGGCACTGTGTCTTTCGTGTTTATATAACCTCAATGGCTCTTAATAATCTTTTCACCTCTTCTTCTACATAGTTCACTAATCCCTGAGGGGTGGAGTTTGATGAAGACATCCCATTTAGGACTGAGTGTCCAATTTAGGACTCTTTGCAAATTGTCTGGCTAGAGGTTTCTATGTTTGTTCCCATTTACAGCAGGAGGAAACTTCCCTGATGAAGGCCGGCTGACACCTGATCTATGGTTATAGGAGGATGTCATAGGAGCTATTTTATAGTACCGTTCCTCTAGCAGAATGATAGATCTTCCTCAAGATCCAGCTATACCACTCTTTGGCATAAACCCAAGGGATGCTTTACCCTATACAGAGATATTTGCTCAACCGTGCTCACTGCTGCTTTAGTCATAATAGCCAGACACTTGAAACAACCTAGATGCCCATTAACAGATAAATGGATAATGAAAATGTGGTAGATTTATACAATGAAATATTGCTCAGATGTTGAAAAAACAAAAACAAAAACTAAACCACAAAATTCACAGGTAAATGAATGGGACTAGACAAAATAAAATCCTGAATAAGTTAGCCTAGGCCCCAAAAGACAAATATGGGGTGTATGCTTTTACATGTGGATGCTAAGTTTTAAGCCTTTGATTTGGCTTTCTGCTAGGTCCATGATCAATCTAGTCTCAGGTTCTTGGATTGAGTAGTTTCAGCCATGGGCTCTATCCTGTGGACTGGACATTAAATCAAAGCAGATAGTGATTGGTTACTCCCACAACATCTGGGCCACTACTGCACCAGTGTATTGGGCAGTCTGGTCACCATGATAGATCAAAGAGTCCCTGGCTGGGTTAGTGTTTTCTTCTTTGGTAGCATGCAAAGTACCTTCCAGTACCCTGAATACTAGTCAGTAGGGGTCAATTTTTAAGTTAGGCACAAGCTCAATGTCTCCCTGTTCAGGGAGATATATAAATGTTGTCTCCATAAATAGAGCCTTATCCTCAGTTTGTGGAGAACAACCCATAGCCTTGGCAATCATCTGAGATGGTTGGGAGTTTCCATAGGGCACCTTTGGCTAACAACTCAGTTTGATTCATTCCTGGCTTTGGAGGTTTCACTTGGTGGCAAGAGATGTCTTGTTGGGACTTTGTCTCTGCATCACCATTATTTGGTGATTCCATTTAGAGTTGTTCCCTCCCCCTCCCCGTCTTCTCTTTCTTTCTCTCTCTGAAATATATATTCTTTTGTTTTGTTTTGTTTTGTTTTGTTTTTTGAGACAGGGTTTCTCTGTGTAGCCCTGGCTGTCCTGGAACTCACTCTGTAGACCAGGCTAGCCTTGAGCTCTCGAACTCAGAAATCTGCCTGCCTCTGCCTCCCAAGTGCTGGGATT